GATGGGACCGGGTTACCTGAGGGACCGTCTTACCCCCATTGTATCCACCCATCCCACCCAGTCAGGCAGAGAGGGTATGCTGGAGACCTCATTGATGAAAGAATGTTGACTGGTGGGGTCCCGAAAGAGAGCCTTCTCTGCTTTGGCCCATGCCCTATGGAATACTGTTCCCCCAGAGGTGAGGCAGGCCCCAACACTCTTGTTCTTCCGGAAAGCAGTCAAGACCTGGCTCTACCAACTGGCATGGGGCGAAAAAAGGGGCAACCAACCCTGGAGCTGGCTAGCACCTTGAAGATACTCCTGATACATCTTACTGATAATCAACATCCTGGAAGATATTATTATTTGCATGTGTGTTTAGTTTTATTCCATTTTTACTGTATTTTTATATTGTTTTTATTGTATTTTAATTAATATTTATTGTTGTTTTATTGTGAATCGCCCAGAGTAACTTTTTTGTGAGATGGGCAATATCTAAATTTGAAATATAAATAAAATAAATACATAAAAATAATGCCAACTCAACCACTGTAATTCCTAAAGCTTAGAACAGCATCTTAGAATGTCATGTAAGGATAATATATTTGTATTTGTTTCAGGGGAAAAAAATGCCTTTGATAAAGATCTATTCAGTTCATTTCACATTCATTTGAAAAACTGGCTTTGTTTTTCTTGAACAAAGTGAACTGGGATAGTAATTAGGGAGTTCAAGAAAAACAAAGTCAGTATGCAAGCGTAAATGTAATATGGCAAGTTTTCAGTGTAGGTTCTTTTTCCTCCAGTCAGTTGAGTTCCTGCCTCTTCAGTCAAAGAGCATATTCCAAACCCAGGCTTATCTTGTATCTACTGCTTGTCACACTTGGTCTTTCAGTAATGCTGAATATTAGGGCTTTATTTTATTCTGATTGGTTTGCTTGGACTTAAATCTTAATTGAATTATGTAACCTTAGTCTCCTGAATCTTTTTTTCCCCACTGAACCATTGGCTTTCACAGCTGTAACTGCACATCATATCTTCCATTCCCCAGTTTTTTTGTTAATTTGTAGATAAAAGATTCTGATAAAAGGTCAAATAAAATAAAACAAAAGGACATCTTTCTACATATATTTGCTTATGGATGTTATCAGGAATATTCAAGTCTCTATGTTTTGTCTTAGGCTTCATAAAAATATTCATTTTGTAAATAAGTTAAAGGTCTCTCAAGTTTATAATTGTAATATATCTTAACTCTTATGGGAAAAACTGAGGCAGTTCAATAGTTCAGCTTGTGTTCTGAGGTGGCATCATTGATTTCAAAATGAAGCATCTATTTATAAATAGATAACATCTAGTTATCTCAATTTCTGTAAGATTTCTTCTCAGGATTTTGACAAATACAACAAAATGTTAAATAGTATCAGACACAGGCTATGCTCTTTGCTTTAAGTTTAAAACATTCCTTTAGCTCATAAGGGCATTATTAGCATTATTATTGAAAAATCATTTATTTTTATCTATAAAGTATGCTGCAAGTCATCTTGGAAATGTTATATTAAGAAGCCTTGGGGGATGAGTGGATATGTGTTTTAATCACCATGTATGTAATCTTGGAATAAAGAAAAAGCTAAGCATATCTAGAAAATATCAGGCATCATCTAGGCCAGCTTTGAAACAGAAAATACAAAAAGTTGCTTCTGATTGTAATAAAAATATAATGGGTAATTTGTTGACTTTAATGATCTCTACATGATCTACTTTTCCCACTAATAGTAAGATTATCACAGTAAAAACATGACCAATTGTAAAAGCATCGTACAAATAACATTGGATTAAAGTTATTCATCCACTTATCTCAGTTTTCTGAAAGATCCATGGGAATAAGGAATAGATTATTTTTGAAAGAAAATATTTAATCTCTCTCCCTTTCTCTCTCTCTCTCTCTCTCTCTCTCTCTCTCACACACACACACACACACACTCCTTTTGTTGTTCTTATTTTTCAGTTTCAGGATGTCAGCTTCTTCTCCAGTTGGGGATACTACCACTTTGAGAGGTCTGTTCTCCTTAATTTGTCTGTTACCTGATTTATGAATTAGTGAAAAGGATAGAGCAGGGTGATTACAATTTTGCATGGGAATAGAGTACATGGAGGTAGGTCAGGGGTGCCCTAGCTATAGAAGGGAATGACATTTTCTATGCAGAGGAATGCTGCAGCTGTGATAGGCCAAGTCAATACTTGTTTTGGGGCAGTAACTTATAGTCCAGTTTTTCAATGGCTTTATGTAAAGTATGACTAAAACTTTAGTCAGATTTATTTTGCTTTGACTTGATAATATTTTCAAGCTGGCATATTGACTTGTGATTGTTATTTGTTTAATGAAATAGTTGATATAAAAATATGGTGACACTTATTATTTTCTTTAGATACAGTTGCCAGTGTTCCTCCTTCTGATGTGGCCTCAACTGATAGTCATTTGGACAGAACTGAAAAGACAGAAGATCCTGAAGTATGTTAGAGTGCTTTATTAGATTGGTTTAATTTTTATAGATGTTGCCTGATAGACATTGGAGGTATTGGAGCAGTGATAACTTCAACCAAGTAGAAAAAATACTCTTAATTTCTTTTTATTTCAAAAGGCTAACAAAGATTAGAATAATATTGAAAACCTCTGCCTAGTAGTTCAATAGTTTTTTATTCAGAATTCATCGAGAATGCAAGCCCTTTGTTTAAAATGATCTTATTTTATTTCTGCTGCATTTAATAATAAGCAGGAAAATTCTTGAAAGGAATTGAAAATCCAACTTTCTACACAATGGTATAGAGTTAGCCCATTAATAAAACCAAAACATGGTTCTCTTTTCTGATCACCACCTACTTCCATGGTTCCAACTACATCTGTAACCAGTTGTCTCCTTCTTTCCTGCCTTGGGTCTTGGGTGAAATTCCATCTCTCTGGGACTTTTCTTCCCTTCCTCCAGGGAAACCACCATTGACTTTTCTTCTCCTTCTTCTACTCGTAACCCACAACTTCTCCACACATCCACACAACTTTACTCTCCACCTTTTCTCTCCAGTCAGTTCCTTCTACAACATTTCTTTGTAGTTCTTGTTTTCTCTACTAGTTTCTCTCCTCTCTTTCTTTCTCTGTCCAGTTTTGTGTTAGACTGGCAACATATCCCCCAACAACTTAGTAGGTGGGTGTCCCCCTAGGGTTCTAGTCCCCAACACCTATATACAAGGCTGGGCAAATGGGAATGCTGTCTTCCTTTGCCCCACAACAGCCTTGGCTAGCAACCAGGTCAGCTCATCAGCCCATGACAGTACAGGCTAGATTTGAGCTTCCTCTCCCCCTTCTCTCTCTCCTTTTGCTAACTCATACCAGCAACTGAAAGCCATATGTCACACTCACTCAGTTAGCAGTTGCATTCCCCAAATGGCCCTCTGTATACTTAGTATTGTATTCCAAATGTTCTTCACTTTTATTTCTGAAAAATGTATTACATATGCCTTTGCATTATTTCATTAATTCTAAAAAATCTTTTACTAGGAATGAGTCAGGGCCCATCATCAGACAATGCCTTTTAAAAAATAAAGTGTTGATTGCTTCTAGTCAGGAAGCAATGGAAATAGAATCTTACCTCCAGCCACATTTGATTAACATGGAAAAAGAATTTATATTAGAAATTACAATTTACATTAGAAATAAATTAGACAGTATTATAGGTATGAAAATGTCCTTACACAACTGCCCCCTTCCCTGTTCTTGATACCCATAAATTAGAGAAAAATCTGAATATATAAAATTTCAACAAAAAATTATCACACATGGTTTCGGTGTCAATAGATACTTACACAGTTATAAACCTTCAGTGATTGCCTTTTTTCCCCTTGCAGACATCCATATGAGCAGACAATGGGCTTGGGAGAAGACACATAATTTAGGAGAAAAGTTAGTAATATCTAGTAACCACATGAGAACTCCAGTAACATATTTAATGCATGAAGGAAACTAGCACACTGATTAATTTGGTGTATTAAATGTAGTTTGGGGGAGGTTGTTTATTATTACAATTCATTAAATCATATTGTTCTTTTGCTTGTTTGTTTCTTTTGCCAGATCAGTAATGAGGTAACAAGAGATTATATAAAACTGATGAAACCTGCTCATGAGCAAATGGTTGTGTTCAGTATTCTTCTTCCTGAAAAGAAATACATCAGTGAGCTGAGTGACCCCTTCAATGAAGAATACCAACAACTCTCTCAACAATTTATTTCTGAAGTAATTGTATTACCTATACATTTTTGTTATAAACTTTAAGGGTTGCTTTTGCGGGTTGGATATCAATAAAGGTGGACACTAGGAAAGATGCCAGGATGCTTGCAATTAATAAAGATTTATTAAAATGGTCCCAATACTTAGAGTGTCAGAGATTCACCCTCCTCAGAACACTGCAGTGAGTCTGGATTGTGGTGAGGTAGGCAGTCCGTGGATGTGACTCACAAAGGGTTGTTTTCAGTGGGCAAATTTTATAGCCCTTCAACCTCTCTGTTCCCATCCACCCCCAGAGTTGCTTAGTTTAGGCATTAGCAAGGGAACGTTATGTATTAATGAGGATTAAGTGTCTAGCAGGTATTGGGCGCTTGCTAAAACAAAAGTTGGAAATCATTATCTAATTGGAATTAGAACAGGAAGTTTATTATCTCATAACACGTAAGAGTAAATAGGAAGAACTAGCTTATCTAAGCAGCCTCTCTTCCAGGTATTAATTTAAAAAAGGTGGGCCAATCATAGGACAGTTGGTGAAAGATGGGCATTTTTAGATGAATTCATCTAAAAAAGAATTCCAGATTACTTTTCTAGAAGTAATAATTACAATTTTTAAATGTTTCATTTCTATTCTATAGTTACCAAGAGGCTACCATCTTGGTTGGAACATATAATATATACACCAACTGAGACCAAAGGCCTCCTCTAGAACATTTATTGAAAGAAGACATGCATTTACTTAAAAATAACAATAAAGTGCAGAAAGGATGGGAAATTTCTGTGCAAAGATGACATAGAAATGACATAGAAATGACATAGAAATGTCATCTTTGACATAGAAGTGTCATCTTTGCATAGAAATTTCCCATCCTTTCTGCACTTTATTGATTGTTATTTTTAAGTAGATGTATGTATTCTTTAAATATACATGTCATCTTTAAGTGGACACGACTGGGGGATACAGCCCTGCTGTTCCATAATACAGCCTTTATGCAAAGTATCCATTACGGGCTTTATTGCCACTGTGCCTTTGACCCTTCTTTTCTCATGTGAATGCCATTGAACATCCTGGAGTTCAGTAGAATACCTTGAGCCAATGAAAACTCAGTTAGCCAATAGAGAACATTAGTCAATCAATGCTCATTGTTGCTGCTCAAGTTTCATAGCTCTTTCTTCTGCTTCAAGTGCTGTGTGAAAGATGCCTTGGAAATGAAAGGACTCAATTTTTTATCCTATCCAGGATAAGCATGCTAAATGCCAACAGAGATATGCAGGATAATAAATCATATTTATCATAGTTTTGGTGTTTAAGAAGTAAAAAGGGAAACATCATCTGTGTGATTTACCCAGCTTTTCCAGATTTCCTGAACTGGACTTGTATTAATAGTGGTCACACATGCTTAGCTCAGTTATTTGAGAAGAGAGCTTTGTTTTTCTATGTGTCATTCTTTCTGTAACCATAAACAGTCCTTGACTCCTCATATTATACATATATACTATAGCCAAAGAGGACCACTGTAACTGTTATATGGCCAGATTAGGCTAGACACCATAGTTTTCCTAACTGTGCAGCCAAGTAGCCATGCCATAATACAAATGCCTGGTCAGATAAAGGCAACTTGGCTCCAGTTTTTTTTCCCTTAATCGCTTGCCAAGTTCCCTCACTGCTTGGAGCACCCCATCCTTTCTGTGTTGCAGCATGTTTTGATAATGGGCAGTGTACAATGTACAAAAGAGATTTTTACTGAGAAAGAAGGAATTTTGAGATAGACAAATTGTTTTTCTGCATATGAAGCATTCTTGATATGGGATGTCGGTTACATCCTTACAATTCCTTCATTTTTCTTTATTTAACTATAATGAGTTTGCATAAGTTACACTTATTTAAAGTACTAGTAAACTTTATCTATTTTCTTCTTTGAGAGCAGCATTATCTACAGATACAAATCCAAAAATACCATCATAGTATTTTTGGGAAATTAAAGACCTTTGCAAAAAGAAATAAATGTTTTTTAGTGTTGGATTCACAGTAAGCATAACCACATGGTAGTTAAAGGAGAAGACAGTACTTTTCAGCTTAAAAAAGATAAATTGGAAATAATACATACAAGAGATTAATGAAAGATGGGGAACTTTAGTAAGTGGAAAAGATTGGATTTGTCACTTTTGAAAAAGAGAAATATTTGTTGAGGAATATTTAGTAAGTGGAAGTGGTCAACCTCCAAATCAATGCTTTAATAGATCTCAAAAACTTGCAAATGGTGTATGTATGGAGGGGAGAAGTTCTGTGATTTATTAATTATGTTACCAGGACCATTTCAAGATATTAATTTATTGTATTTCTACAGTGCTTCTCATTCCAAAGAATCCAGAATGGTTCATATTATATTTTTATCCAGTTCTTCCTTCATAAATCTTACTTTAGCTTCTGAGTGTGCCACATTAACATGGCAAATTTCAAAGTTGAGTACAGTTTCCAAATTTGGATTTTCCACTGCTAAAATTAATGTTCTACCAATTATGTCACACTGTCAGACCAGTCTCTATGGTGTTTTCATAACTACAGTTCATATTATATTTGTATGTTGAGTGGATAAATTCCATTTCCCCAGGAGTCTGATCAAGGAATCATGGTAAAGTAGTTCCTAGATGGAACACAGCTGGAAACTGCACAACTATTGAGTAACAACTGATTTATTATAACACAGAGAGTCAGAATGAGAGAGAGAGAGAGAGTTCTGAAAATGAAAGGGTTTGAGAATCTGTCTCTTTATCTTTCAAATAGATTCAGAATGCATACAAAGGACTGCCTGGATACAAGAATATCCATGTAACTGAATTCAGGTATGAAGTTTTATAAGCAAATGAAAATTAAGCATCTTATAATAATATTGTTAAAATTGCTAGTATGGAACTTTATATCTATGCCTCCTTGCTGAATCAAAACTTCCCTCTCCTATCTTCTCTCTTTTTTTGGAAAAACATACTGAGAACTTTACAGTTTATTATGAATACTACATAGTTGCTATAACCTTAAAATGTGTTATGAATACTATATAACTGCAGTATCTTTGCTCCATTGTTGATGGACAGTATATGCTTGTCTTTGCTTGTATTATTTATTTATTATTTATGTATCTATTAAACTAATCATATATATATGATTATTAATAATTAAAAATTTACTGAAGAGGCACAACTGGTTTAGTTTGCTCCTCTGAAGGCTACTTTATATGTTGGGCAGTGTTTGCTTGTTTTTTTAAGTACTGGTTCCTTACACAGGTTTTCAAATAATTATACAGACCACAAACAATTAGATGCATAATTTGGTCCTTATGCCTACTGAAATATATTATAAAACATTTATAAAAATGTGGAAATTGCTATGAGAGAAAGCCAGCCTGCTCTAAACATGAAATGTCTTGTTTTGTTAAAAATCTTCTGCTAGCTATGAGATTGAAAGGATAGCAAGGCAACAATTTTTGCATCCAGGTATTTTAACAAAAGCTGTAAGCAATAATTGTTGGTGGCAGTACAAAACCCTTATGTGCATGGGATGGTGGTGGCTTGCTTTAGCCCAGAGGTAGGGTGAAGCCGTGTGCGTTGGTGCCTGTGGATGAACATTCCTGAGAGCACAAATCTAATCTGAGCAAGGTTTAGTGAAGCAATCTTATAATTTTAACAGAAAGAAGACTTATTTAAGAAAATACAGAGTAGGAATAGGGAAAATCTAGAACCTAGCTGACTACGTTACATTAGGAGGAGAGTCAGAGAACAAGAGTTTGATGCAAGATCTGAGATTAGCAGCCTCATAGATAAAGACCATGATGAAAGCTATGAGGGAACAGAGAATAAATCCCTAACTCTCTAACTACTTCCCACTGCTCCTTGTGGAAACTGTTTGTTTTGATAAACAAGAAAGCTGAAACCCAACAGATTTATGTTTTTACAGGGATTGTGAAACTGACAGAAAGTAGCAATGTCTATATTTCTTCCCTAGAATAGACACTGAGAAAGAATTTGCTTATGGCCAAGAGCTGAAAGCCATGGTGAAGCAAGATCAAACCCAAGAGAAAAACAAGCAACTTATAGTTTCCAGTGTTGCAAAGCAGAAGAAGTATAGATTTGATTTAGTTTTGGAGAGCCAGCATATATCCCACTCCCCTAGAAGCCAAATCAACCTTGAAATGAGCCAAGTTCATGGGAACAGCCAAGTCAGAGCTAATATGGGAACAGGGCAAAAAGCAGATATAAAGGGCTTCTCAGCTAAAAGTTTTCTGGGCTTATCATAGTGCAAGCAAAGCATGATTAGCCCTTCTTCACTAATGTTCTTTGAAAACTTCACTGAATAGTACTTATATTTTATTCAAACCTTCAGCAAGCATGAAACCAGAATTATTATTAAACGGGATATGCATTTTTTTTCATTCAAACCATTTTGAATTTAGAATACCCTGCTTTTGAGTTTGAAAGAGTTGTTTCAGGTTCAAAGCAGTTGTTTTGTTTACTTCCAGAATGATTGAAGCAGTCAATTCTGAATGCAAAACAACTATTTCCAACTCAGAAGAATTGTTTTAAATTCAAAATGACATATTGAAATGCAAATTTAAATTCTAAACATTTTGCACATCATTCATTCAATCTCAGTTTATCTTTCCATGTTTGATGAGAGGCTTTGATTTATAAAGTTTATTTGGGGAACAATATTTCTAACAATTGTTCTCTACCTTACCTTAACATTTAGGTCATCTCAGGATAACAGGTAAAGAACATTTCTAAATACTTTTTTTTTCAGAATTACAGTTAATTGTTTCCTTTTGATTAGGTGCGGCTCATTTGTAGGAAAACCTCCTATATCTGGAAGCAACTTGAATCAGCAAGAAGTCTATATTAAATTCAATGTTACTGGTGGATGTTGTGAAATGGAATCTAACTCATCAGCCAAGGATTTGCAAATAGTTCTTTAAAAATCAGTTCCTAATACTTGTTGGAAAGTTAACAAAAATCTTGATGCTAGAAGGGCTTATATTACGTACTACATTGAAATAACCAGTTAACAATTATTGATACCAATTGGACTTTTTTCTGAACCTAACTGCACTTTAGAAAGGGTTATTTTCAGGGAAATTATAGCTAATATAAGACTAGACTGTGCTAATCTTGATGAAAACCATTTTACATCTAGTAATAAAGCTGATATAACTGCTTTCACTGGACAATAAGAATAGTATCTAGACTGATGCTTAGACTACAAAAATTTAGTCATTATCAGAAGGAATGCAAAGGACATATAATGTAAACAAATAATAATCTGTAACTGCTAGTGTAGGGTTTGAATGAACAATTGTTCAATATGTACTTCTTTCTAATTCTTCCTTTCTTAAATATTTAGCAGTGTAGAAGTCCTCTATGCTGTGGTTTTTGATAGGGGAGCCATCAGCAATATTATCTGGGATTGGATTAACCTCCAGCCTAACAAAATGGAAAAGAACTCCTTTTCAGAGATTGAAGATAACTCAACAGTTGTTTATACAGAGAGTGACTTCAGACATTATATTGCTGAGATCCTCCATAAGAACATTCTATTTGAGAATACTTCATTGCCCTTGGATCCTGGTTCTCTCCAGCTCATTAATGGTACATAAATATTGTTTCAATTCAAATTATTTCACTCTTAAAATATGCAATGATTTTTTTTATGCCAAGAATTTAATAGATTATGTTATGTGATAGCTTTCTGTGTATATCAGAAGACACTTTTTTCTCTTTCTAAAAGTATACTTTATTTTAATGGATGAGTATCTGGTTCTTGCCATCACTTCCATTTTATAGAGTTCGTTTCTGCATAGTGTGCAAATCCATGCCTACCCTGAAGTACCTTTTTAGCTTATCCAAAGTGTAGTATATCCCTAAAATACTGGATAACTTATTTATCTGAAGTTGATCTGTACCTTTGAAATGTAGCTAGAGTCTAGGTAGCTTACAGACTTTATGTGTTAAAAGCAGGATACAGAATCAGAATCCAGTGATTAAAATAGTAACTAAGAATACAAAGATAAAACATTATAGAGTTGTAAAAATATAAAATCCTCAAAAGCCTTGAGGACGGAAGCCATCTGCCTTTCACGTCCAATCTATTCCAGAGATGGAGGGCTGTTACAAAGAATGCCTGCCATTTGGCCTTGCCACACATCCTGGGAGATGGGGACCCTTAGCAGAAACTCCCTGTCCAAATAGGACAGGCATAAATGATTGAGGAAAGATGGTCTGTGAAAAATACAGTGTATTGATAAATATTTGCTCTTGCAGTTGATATTATGTGGATATTTAGAAACCATGTATATTGGGTATACTACTACAGGCTTCAAATGGATTACCGATATGTTCTATCATCTTTGGAAATATCATAAAAGATCCATACAAACAATGCAGTAGCTACTTTCCTTATCCTTTTTATACTGGTTGTTACACCTGTTTTTGTTCTTAGCTTATTCTGCCAGAATTTGTTACCTCTTTGGGTTTGGGCTGAGTTATTTATGTGCAAAAATCTGTGCTTAGGAAATACTTCATATTCTATAGGTTCTAAGGGGACTGTATTACATGTGAAAATTCTTGGGAACATTCACAAAAAAGACAAATTGTGCATCAAAGATCTGGTGGCTGTATTTCCTCTGATTGTAGATATAGTATACCTAGTATACCCTTTGTATTGAGTTATGTACATCTGTTCTAGATTTGAGTGTATAAATTCTTACTGGCAGCGTTACAGTTTTAAATTGCATATGCTCCTTTAATGAGTTAGGATTAGGAAATAGGGTTGCAAACAATTTAAAAATCAACTTTTGCTTTTTTTACTGTTTGTCTTCATAGTAAAGGAAATGGTCTTTTCTGTGACTGAAATCCCATCATGGATTACTGCTAAGCCCACTGATGATGTAAGTTGATTTTCCTGCATTGCCATCATGTTCCAGCACAATGTTCCCCAGTTGGGTGCTCAACAAAGATACTGGATTAAAAATCATGTAATTTCCAAATTCCATATCTCAAGGGTTTGTAAAAATTTGTTCTAGCAGCTCTTTGTATTATGGACATTTACCCAATCATCTAAATTGTTCTAATACTGTATAAGAAAACTCAACAATATTCCAAAGATTTTCAAGTGCTCTTTTTATCTGTAGATACTTCATATACTGAGGTTTTTAATTATTTATAGTAGCTTTTATGTTCTTTTGTTTCTTTATGTGAGACAAATTCAGTGTTAGATTACTGAAATTGCTGTCTTACTGTCAAAAGGTTTTGGAAAATATTTTGTTTTTTCAGAGTGGTCTTTTAATCTTATTAGAATAGCTTTTTTTATATAAAAATGGTATGTGCAAGAACCAAAATATGCCAAAAGTATTATATTTCTGTAATATGCTATTTTAAGAATCTTTGAATAATATCAGATGTCATAGCAACACGTCTCTGCATTTAAATAAACAATAAACTGTAATTCTTGGCAGCCATAGACAAATGGTCCAAACATTTCTATTGAACAGTAATTATTCCCAGTCTTTGTGGTTACATTATTTTAATATATAATTCTGCACATTTTCTCTAGGTTCACTTATGTTACATTACGTATTTCCTGTATTTTTGAATTAAAAAAATTATTATTGATGAGCTAATCAGTGAACATGTGAGAAGGATTTAAATTAACATAAAAACAGATCTTTTGTCTGGTTTATGGGAGTAGAAACCTAATGCTATTTTAATGCAGTTATGCATAAAGAAGCCTTCTCTCCAGATTAGCCTCTCCTGACGTGTACAAAAGTAGCCCCCCAGGGAGGGTTTAAGGGTGTTTTGTTTCTTTTGGTTTTTTTTATTTGATGTATGCAACATGTAGTTTCTCCCCAAAGTAACACAAGCTGCCGGAAGGTGTTAAAAACTGAACTGAAAATAGTGTAGCAAAGTAGAGAAGCTATGAAGATAACAATGTACCAAGAATCAATGAAGAGACAAAGCAAGCTTTTTCTTCATCCACTAAAAGTTATTAGCCCACTGTTTGTAGGAAATCAACTTTCTTATTAATCCAGATCTGAGTAAGCAGTATAGAAACTGGAGCAAAGTAAATGCAGTAGGCCTGTCAATAGTGGGATAAGTGTTTGCTTTCTTGCCTATATCTTTGGTGGCTTAAATGATTTGGGTATAGGTATCTGGTGGAGCCCACAATAACATCAAAATGACATTGCATGCATCATGACATCATCACACAAATGAGGCAAAATGACCCAAATAGATAATTCACATCATTTGCACAATGACATCAAGATAACACAACTTGACTGCCCCTTGCTCCCCTATGAAAACTCAGTTCTGGACTCTGACCAGAACTGCAACTTGGAAGCATTCTTATAGTTATTAACTGTAATTGCTACAACCAGTGGAGTATGCAGGATTCAGTGCTTTTGTCAAAATGACAAAAACAGCATTCCATTGCCATGCCCAAGTTCTACCACATTGTACATGCATATAACATCACAACACATACAAAAGTGAAGCTAGAGTGACATTATGTAGAGAAAATAGGGAATGGCCTTGAAGGACAGAAGGAACAGCCACAACTAAAGCAATGGTCAGATAAGCGGGCCTTGACCCCAGGCCACGAAATTAATTTGAGAAAACATCTCAGACAAGCCCCCCTCTAATTCACATAAAGATAAAGAGGAGAAGCACATTCAGACTTTTAAGTTTCTGTTACTAATGCTATTATACTAAAGGTTGTCCTGATCTGTATGGCGCTGGTTTCTTAGTCTGGTCTACCTTGTAGGACTGACACATTAGTAGGACACTGCTTTTGTCATTTGCCCCCCACCTACAGATGTCTCTGATGACAACTTATTTAACCTATTACAACCTATGACACATTTTACAGTATATTCTTGTTTGCACATAGGTTTGTTGTAAGTTGTACAAATGATGTGATATGGGAGTGAGTTATAAGGTAATTTGAAGCATTATCATTATCACTGTTTGTAACCATTATGGATCTATATTTTAGGATCATGCCATAGTATCTGAGTGGCCTTTTGCTGATGAGTTAACCACAAGCAACATCTTGTCGTTTGACTTGCCTGGACCAGATATTGTCTTTGATAGTGACAATAACGTGTGGTTAAGACCAGATGGCTTTCTGAACACTGAAAGTACCTTCAATTCAATATCAAAAATTACTCTCCATTCAAAAACTGATATCACCATTTCCCCAGAAGATTTGCTTTTTATGGATGAAAAACAGAAAATACATTATGGCACAGGACAATTCTTTGAAACCGATTCCCTTGTGGGCTTGGAAAGCCTTTCTAATTTGTCTTTGTTAGAAGATGGTAAGTTATTTTGACTTGTTTCTAAAAATTATAAGTCTTAGGATAATATATTTTTTCAGAAATGTTTATGGACTGAGCATTTTTGTCAGAGCTCTTAATTGGCTGCTTCAAAATTTCTCCTCTAGAGTTAGCTGAAATAACAGCCTTTCACAATAAGACAGGCATTATCAGATGTTGGCACCATGCTGGAAAATATTATTTTAATTTCTTTAACAGAGGAGCCATATTTATAATAGCAGTCTTGTACAGAAATGTAATATTTCATCTTAAGAATTCCATAAAACCCTCCCCTTCAACCTTGAGTTCCCTACCCCTAAGGCTTGGCATTTATTTATTTATTTATTTATTTAGATGTATAAAGCTGTCCAGAATAACAACTTTCCACAGTTTTTCATGTACTAATTGCCTACAATTAGATTAGTGTAATGTACTCCATAGGTCTGCTTTAGGAGGAGGAGAATCCCCACTGCAGTTTGCAAATGTAATTGGTGCAAATTGCAGTTGCCAGGATTTATAAAACATATTACAGCAATTTTGTTTGGTCTGTATAGCTTGCCAGTTTGTTTCTAGACTAAATTAAAATGAATGATGAACTTGATTTGCCATTCTTTTGGCATACATTTTTACTTTTGCTCTTTTATTATTATAATTTGAATTGCTTTTGTATTGTTCCCCCCCCCCACACACACATACAGTCTATGTTATGTCAATTGATTGCTGCTTTTAGAATTACTGATTGATATATATGAATATTTCATATTTTATTTTCAAAATTAAATTAGAAGCATTTTTGAAATGAAAAGAATATAAACTTTTAAACTCCTTATTCTATTTAGTTTGGTTTGGTTTTAATGTAACTGTATTATGATTTAGATTTGTAACTGTATTAAGATTTGGAACAAAGAGGAGAATTGCCTCTCTTTCTGTCATTGATGCAAGAGTGAATGTGCCCTAAAGAGATTACAGTATTTGCTGAGCAGTAAATAATAAACTTGGGTCTTTAAGAAATAAACTTCAATAAGCTGCATTTACAAAAACTTAATTTTGCACTGATTTTTTTTTTGTTTTGTTTTGTTTTAGGACTTGAAAATGAGAAAGAGTTGGAAGGTTTGCTTGTGCCTTCAACTATTCTCCCTCACATTGTGCCAAAAGAAATTCTACCCCCAAGTGATTCTGCGATTCCTCTCAGTATTACATCATCATCAGCCTCTGTTTTACCAATAGAGCCTAGCACTGAGGAAGAATTGTCTACAAGCTTTTTAAAAGAGGAAATTCAGCAGTCTTCTATATATAAAGAAAAAGATAATATCGATTACTATGGTTCTGGTTCAGGACAACAGCCACAAACCAACTTATGGACCTGGTTGAAAACTGAGGGATCTGGTAAGCATGACTATAAGGAAACAAATTTTATTCTGGATTCGCCAAAGGACTATATTACTCAGGATATACTAGATGCAACCATCTCCCAGTCACCTCTCAACACAGAGGATACCTCAGATGAAAGAGTTTTGACATCTACTGAAATGTATAGCATAATACAATTGGAGAATTCCAGTGAGGATAATGAAATCATTTATGAAATAACAGAAATCTATGACCAAATATTAACAGACCAGTCATCAACAAATCAACCACATATAGCCATTACAATAAAACAAACCCAAAGTAGTGCTCCAAGAACTGGAGGACTAGGAAACACAGAAATATTTTTATCAGCATATTCAACTGTGGAAAGTCCAGTGATAAGTAACTTTATGATGGAAAAATATATTCCTGATTCAACAGTACCAGAAGCCTTTGAATCAGTTGCTCATACACCTATTGTTACTCCATCTACTACTGTTATTTATAATTCTGCAGATGAAATCACAGATCTAGTAGCATTATCTAGTTTGGAAGATTCAACAATAGTTACTTATTTAACAGACGTGCCAACTGATCCCAATGATTTCCTTGGAGAATTCAGTGCCACCCACATCATTAATTCTCCACATAGTGGCTTTGACAGTGATACAACCATGACTATAACAGAATATTCAGCCAGTTCTTTCTCTGACATCCCTATCACACAGACAACTATCCTTCAATCTACAGTTATCTCCCCTGAATTGGAAAAAGATCTGGTCACAAAAGAACTGAAAGTTATAGGTCAAGATTATGAAGGCACAACTTACTATTCCCATGAAATGAACCAGGAAGAAGGAAGTATGATTGACAGTCATGTAAAGCTACCAACCCATGCTCATTCTACTGAAATGGTTGGGGTGTCTGGGATTACTTATGATAATCCCAACAATGTGACTATCCCTGCACGCGCTTTAGTTGTATTCTTTAGCCTTCGAGTTACTAACATGATTTTTTCAGAGGATTTGTTTAACAAAAATTCTCCTGAATATAAAGCCCTGGAGCAAAGATTTTTAGAACTGGTAAGATATATTTTATTATTTTTGCCAGTTGCTATTCCTTTAACATGTGTGACCAATGGAGGGGCATAGCATGATCTTGTTTTTGTAGGACAGCTTGTATTTGCACGTTAGCCTGCTATGCTCATTTCAGTTCTTTAATTCATAGATGAAGAGTTATTAAGTAAAAGGAAAAATCACAAACAATCAGATTTACCTTGTACTGTATATGTCCAAGTTAATATTATGTTTTGTCTATAGCTACTCAATGAACAATTATTAACTGAAATTGTTACAAGACATATTCCTGTCTTTAATTGTTGAATTGGCTAACTTAGGATTTAAAATATCAAGCTTTGGAAGACTGATTAATATGTCCAATACTTTTATTGTTTACTATCTACATACATTATAGATATGTACATCATGTGTATTGTGTAATAACAATTCTTCACCATCAATTAGTAAAGAAGGTCAGCAGATAAAGGGAAAAGTTTATTTAGCAAAGATCATTGGATCTGTCCTATAGAAACAGATACTAACATTGGGATGGTTACATACATGGTTTATAAACATGCATAGCACAGCGTGCCTCTTTCTCGTTGGTTTAATGTACGCTTTTGCCTGATATGGTTAAACTTTACTTCTTTTTCTTTTTGCACATACAAAGTTTCCTATTTGGTCTTTTACAATAAAATAACTTCAGATGAGACAAGAATTGTATTTTCTTCCCTATCTGGTCCTTTAAAATGCTGACTGGTCACTTCCCCATCCTAGAAGATCCTGACACACATACTAATTTGGTTTCCTGTCTTGTTTAGAGATAATGGAGAGGTACCTTTTATTTGTCCCTACATCTGGCACCAGTAAAAATTAATGCATACACACAAATATGTCTTTAAGGTTAAAATAGATTTTTACACGTATGGAAAAGTTATTGAGACTTATTATTTTAAAATGATATATAATCAGGAATATGCACACATATGCTATCCTGCAGATCTCATGGATCAATCATCACATTGTATTAAGCCATGGTTTGCTGGTTTGTTGAACAAGTCATAGTAGCCTGTTTCACAGATAACACTAAATCTTGCAATAATTTATAAAATACAACCAATATAAGCTAAGATCATACATCATGCTAAGGTAAACCCAATAAACTCCTTATAGCTTAGGGCAATGGACTAACATAGAATGGATGAGTAGATATATGCATTATATACAATAATTTCATTTATATATTTTTTTTTCCCTTCATTATAGCTGGTTCCTTATTTGCAGTCAAATCTAACTGGCTTCCAGAATCTGGAAATTCTGAACTTCAGGAATGGTAGTATTGTGGTTAACAGCCGAATGAAATTTGCAAGTGCTGTGCCTCACAATGTCACTAATTCTGTGTACCTGATTCTGGAAGACTTTTGCAACACTGCCTACCAAACTATGAACTTGGCTATTGATAAGTACTCTCTGGATGTAGAATCAGGTATTATAAGAATTTTTGCTTGTTTCATTAGCTGAGAGACAAAGGCCTTATTTTCAATGAGGCAGAAGACTTTTGCCAAACAGACTATACCATTTAAGACTGCAACAGGATTCAGATAACTGAATGCTATCAAATCCCCTCCCATTTCACTCCATCTGAATTCAGTTCTCTCTCCATATTATATAAATGGGCATAGGGGGCATTATTCTAATTTAGTTTTTTTTCCACACATTCCTCTGTTGCAGGGCCTCTTTTAGTCTCCAACTGCAATTCAATGTGCCCAGGCCATATATTTACTCTCCCAGTGATAATTAGGCCAAGTAGTTTCTATGATGATGATATTCCCATTTATGTGGTGTTTCCTACATTCAAGATCCTTCTTATATTTCAACATACTGTAGTTAATTTTAAACAACAATTCTTTGATAAGTCCACAAATAAGTTTAGATTTAACATGGAACTTCCCCAGTCACAACTGTTATTTCAAATTTTTCACAGACTTCAGACTTCCCATGATAGAAAGTAAGATCATCATAATAGATAAATGCTGTTGCCCAAATTCTAAACTGTTCTGTTTAACAAGAATAAATAATGGCTTCATATACAGAACCAGTGTAACAACGTTACTATATATAGGTTCTAGTTAAGACATGGTATAAGTTTCTTTGGTCCACTGTGCGAGGAGAGGTTTAACCAGGACAAATAACTTTGATTATTGGGCACTGCATCAAGGCACAGAAGAGTCCACTTCTACATACTTGGGTCATGGGAGCTATAACGACAAAGGAGTACTGATTTGTGGACTTCCTAGATGTATCTGGTGGGCCCCATAGGAGACAGAATGCTGGCTGAATGGGTCTATGCCTCACGCAGCAAGCTTGTTCTCATGTTTCCAAAAGCAAAAAAGCTTTTAATGTGTCAATTCCCTTGAGTTAATAACTATTTTTAAACATTGATTTTTAATTTTAAAAATTAAAAATTTCTTAATCCCATTCTCACTTTGCATAAAATTGTTTACTCCAAAACAGAACTGTGTGACATAAATATATGTATGTATGAAGTATATATAAAAAAATCATCTTTCTATAGGCAAAGTTGCATACTCTTCTGCTATTCCCTATGCATTCATTTTTTTCTCATCATTTTCAGGAGTCCAGGCTGACCCTTGCAAGTTCCAGGCATGCAATGAGTTTTCTGAGTGCTTAGTGAACCAGTGGAGTGGAGAGGCTGAATGTGTTTGTTATTCTGGTTATCTAAGCATTGATGGATTGCCATGTAATAGCATTTGCCTTCTGCAACCTAATTTTTGTCAGAATGATGGCAAATGTGACATAATCCCAGGGCAAGGAGCAATATGTAGGTGAGTGAATAGTTGTCCAACTGGTTTTCAAATGCATAAAATCACAGCCATTATATTATTGACGCATTGATATTTGTGTTTGTTTATAAGCAAAATAGATGTAGTACAGTGGTTAAGGTTTTGGACTAGAACCACGGAAATCCTACACTCAAGTTCAACCTGAGTTCTGGAATTTTTCATGGTGAAAAACTTTGAGCCACTACTCTCAGCTCAACCTACCTCACAAGGTTGCTGCTGTGTGGGAAAAGGTGGAGAAGGGAGTGCATGTATGTTGCCTTGAGGTCCTGGAGGAAATGTAATGTAATGTAATGCAAATTACCATAGTTCCCTGAAATATTATGTTCAATTATACAGAACAGTGAAATTCCATATATTTTGGGGTGTATTTAAAAATGTCTTTCATGCATGGTGTTTGTAGCTCCTCTTACGTCTCGTCTCATCTCTTCTCTCTCTCCCTCCCTCTCTCATGTGCCTTCGAGTCAGTCTTGACTCCTGGCAACTGCTTGGACAAGTCCCTGCAGTTTTCTTGGCAAGGTTTTTTGGAAGTGATTTGCCATTGTCTCCTTCCTAGGGCTGAGAGAGTATGGCTGACCCAAGGTCTCCCAGCTGGCTTTGTGCCTAGGCAGGACTAGAACTTGTGATCTCCCAGTTTCTAGCCTGATGCCTTAACCACTACATCAAACTGTCTCTCAAATAATTTAGTTATGATCAACTGTATAATATATGAGCAGTTGCTCAGTTGTTATCTTGCATTAGCTAAGACTAGCATTTGACATTCTGTCATTTCAGATGACAGTAGAATAACTAACTCATCATTGTTTTTCTTTTTCACTTTCCTGTTGGTGTGGATGAATGATAGATGCCGTGTAGGTAATAACTGGTGGTATAGAGGAGAGCATTGTGAAGAGTATGTCTCAGAACCACTTGTTGTGGGAATTGCAATAGCTTCAGTAGCTGTCTTCCTTCTTGTAGCCTCTATTGTAACTTTCTTCCTGGCCAGAACCCTTCGAGATCAGAATGCAAAAAGTGAAATTGAGGACTCCTTTGTGTAAGTATCATTTGGAGGTTATTTCATGTAATTCACTCACTGGTGCTGAAGAGAGGACAGGCAAGCACACAGTACATGGAGCACAACCATATACTGCATAGATTCCCAAACCAGTGGCTTTTAAAAATTGGACTTCACTGTTCCTCTAGATAAAATTGTATATTAATAAAAGTCTAAAGATAAGTTGGTTGATAAGTAGACGGTTCATAAATGAAAGAGAAGACCTATGTCTTACTGTTGGGCAGCTTTATGGATCTCCAGTAAGAGTTCATCTTTGTTCATAACTGCTGGAAAATCCTGAAAGTCTCAAACAATATTGGAAGCACTATTTTACCCATAACATATTTTCTGCTTTGTTATGGAGTTCTAGTTTGTAGAACCCACTCCAGTACAGATATTGCTTATCTTGCAGTTTATTGCTCAGAACGTCAGATAACTCCTTTCAGGTGGTGTTTTAAAAAGGCTAAGGAAATATGCACTGAAGCCCTCTCCCTCACCCTCTAGTCCAGTGTTGTCCAAACTTGGTCACTTTAAGATGAGTGGACTTCAACTCCCAAAATTCTGGCTGGCTGGGGAATTCTGGGAGTTGAAGTCCACTCATCTTAAAGTGGCCAAGTTTGGACAACACTGCTCTAGTCTTTCAGAATTTATGTATCCGATGGGAATGGGAATGTTGCTCCTTCAAATGCAGCTACACTTTGTCTTCAGACTTTCTCAGTCAACACATGGAGATTGGGCTTGAAGGAATAGCATGTATTTCTGTTGTCCTCACTCATTTTTTCTGAATGCCTGAGAACAGCTATTGTCAACTTAGTTTTGGGAAATATTTTAAAATAGTGGAGTTCAGTTTGTTTTCTTTATAGGCAAGGAGACAACCTTTCATCCATTGAATATGCAGTGAAGTACAACCCAATGTATGAGAGTGATACCACTGGATATAGCCACTATTATCGGAGATATCCACAGCTAACTTCATATAGTTCCACAAGCAATGAGACATCCACTGAATATAGCAGTGAAGAGATCAGACACATTTATGATAACAGAGAATTAAGTAAGGAGGTATGTAAGTCCTTATTCTATTTGTTTTGTTTTTCACTTTGCTGTATCCCAAGGATTTGGTAATAGTAGACTTTTTCAGGTCAAAATGCGGGATTCAAATTTGGTGAAACCATTTTAAAAGGACATTATATAGTATTTTTTATTTTGTTGTTTTATATTGAAATAGGTACAAAACATTCCTATTTTGAACTATTGTGCTTTATTTAGGATTATTTTATACTTGCTATGCTTTTTTTCTACTTTTATAGGAGATTCAGGACAGAATAAGGATTATAGAACTTTATGCCAAGGATCATCAGTTTGTGGAGTTTGTAAAACGGCATCAAATGTGAGTTAGGTATTTTCTTCCATAGGTTTTCTTTATTTGAACCTGCTTATTATGCAACATGACTGGCTCAGAAGAAAGCATGTAAGAATGTAATTTTATTTATTTACATAGTGAAATGAGTACCATTCTACTTGAATTTTGTTTGGCTACTTCATAAACAGCTAAAACAACATATTATATTGTACATACTGTCTATTGGACTACTGTACATGCTGGTGTTGAATTTCACTGTGGCCTTTTGATGGTTTAAATTTATATTATGTTTCTGGTTTTTGTTTCATTTAATTTCTATGTTACCTAGAAGACTAAATAGAAGTTGTTAGAAGCATTTAGGAAAGGGCAGCAAAATACTAAGTTATATAAAACTAATAACAATTCAATAAAAACAAACTTATGTTTTTTAATAAAGTGAGAGCCAAGCGTTTTGTATCTAAATATGATGCAGCCACTTCTTCTCTAGCTGAGGGCTCATTAATGGCTCTAGAGCTACTTCAGTTCTCCAGTGCTTTGATTGTGGAGTCCAGAGCTTTATTGCTACTGAATTGCAGTTGTTAAAAGTAAACAATTATTAATGTGTGAGCATATCAACTGCATTTAATTATTTTCATTTAATTGTTATTCAGTTTTGTTTAAATTAAATTAAACCCTGTTTTACACTTTTTAGAATGCAACCCGTTGCATTCTATCCAAGGCCTACTGCAGTCTTGGCCTGAAAATGGTTGTATACCTCTGTTAAGGTATCATAAGCATAAGGCCATGGCATAACGAGATGCTACATTTCTCCAGGTTCAAGGATTCTTGGGGAAGCAACAGAAGGTCTGTTGAATGTATAGGTATCCATTCCCTCTCTAACACAGTAGTTCTACCAGAAGATGATGATCAAGGACATTACACAAACAACAGACAGAGAGGTCAAATAAATTGAATTTCTGAAAGACAATTGAAATATAGATAGATGATGCATGGACACATAAGCCTATAAGGAATGATGAATTATAAATAGATTTTAAGCACCAAGGAAAAAAAGCAAAACAAGGGAAAGGAAAGGGGCGCAAAAGAACAGACTCTGAATTCTGGACTGACCAAAAAAAAAAAAAGCAGGAAGATTTGGATATACTGGATTATCTGGACGCCTTTCAGTCAGGATGCAGACCTGGGTATGGGATGGAAATGGCCTTGGTCATGCTCTTAGATGATCTCTGGTGGGAGTAGGATGATGGTTGTGCATCCATCCTAGCTCTACTTGACCTCTCAGTGGCCTTCTATACCATTGACCATGGTATCCTTCTGGATCAGCTGTGGGGATTGGGGGTGGATGGTACTATATTGTGCTCATTCTCCTCCTTTCTCCAGGGTCGATACCAGTCAGTGGTGATTGGGGAGGAGAGATCCCGCCCTCACCCCTACTGTGTGGAGTGCCACAGGGTTCGGTGCTCTTTCCACTCCTCTTTAACATCTATATGAAGCCGTTGGGTGATTTCATCTGTCGCCATGTGGTGAGGTACCATCAGTACACTGATGATACCTAATTATACATCTCTGCCCCTGGCAAATTAAGTGATGCTGTTGATGTCTTATTCCAGTGCCTGGAGACAGTGAGAGTCTGGATGGGGGCCAACAGGCTTCAACTGAACCCTGGCAAGAATGAGTGGCTCTGGGTTTTGGGGCCTGCCACTTCTGGCACTATGCCAACTTTGGTACTGGATCGGGTTGCACTGCCCCAAACAGACTTAGTGTACAGCTTGGGGATCCTCCTAGACTCATGACTCCTGCTTGAAGAACAGGTGGTAGTCGTGGTTAGGAGGACCTTTGCACAGCTTCGTGTTGCACACCAGTTGCATAAGTTCCTAGATCAGGAGGCTCTGCTCATGATCACTCATGCCCTGGTCACCTCCAGGATGGACTACTGTAATGTGATTTACATGGGGCTGCCCTTGAAGAGTATCTGGAAGCTTCAGCTGGTTCAGAATGCGGCAGCATGGGCAGCTACGTGTGTCCCTAGAGTGGCAGATGTTACACCTCTGCTCTGCAAGCTGCATTGATTGCCAGTTTGTTTCTGGGTCCAATTCAAGGTGCTGGCTTTGATCTTTAAAGCCCTTCATGGCATGCTGAAGATTGGCATGCCCTTCCTCTGAGCCATGAATGACATTATGAAAAGTTAAATTGAATTTGTTATTTACTAAAAGTTTGACTGAACCCCTAGATTCATCAAGCTTGTATATTTCTCAATATGTTTAAACTGAGAAATTGTAATTTATTATGGACTAGAATTGTATTGCAATTATAACTTTTTATTAGACTTTTATTGTTCAGTCTAATGCTCACAATTGTTCAGTCTAATGCTCACAATGTGTAGAAACAGCCCATCTAAAGCCATCATTCATAACTGACATTTTAATTAATTTAATTTAATTTAATTTATTTAATTTAATAAGGCCACCCACTCCAGAAGACTCTGGGTGGCTTACAAAATACACACACACACACACACACACAATCCCCAATAAAACAGTTAAAACCCACATAACAAGCAACCCAGACTAAAGCAACTAGAAAGGCAAATGGCACAATCAGTACAAAAATACGATAGGGGCCCCACCAATGGATCTCAACCACATTCACCCAGGCCTGGGAACAGAGCTAGGTCTTAAGTGCTTTCTCAAACCCCAAGAGAGTGGGCACCATCCATATCTCTGGGGGGATGCAGTTCCAGAAAGCAGAGACCATGACAGAGAAGGCACACTTCCTCAGTCCTACAAGATGGCAGCATTTAATTGAAGGGACCTGGAGTGCGCCCACTCTGCCCTAATGTACCAGGCAGCCAGAAAGAATTGGAGATAGGCAGTCCTCAGATAATGAGACCTTATGCCATCAAGGGTTTTATAGGTGGCAACCAGCACCTTGAATTGTACCCAGAAGCCTACTGGCAACCAGTGCAGCTTGCTTAGTAGTGGTAACACACAGGCATATCATGAAGCACCCATTACTGCTCATGTTGCTGCATTTTGTACCAATCATAGTTTCCAGATGGACTTCAAGGGGAGCCCCATGAAGTGCCTCACAGTACTCCAGTCATGAGGTGACCAGGGTGTGAGTTACCATCTGAAGGGTTAAAGAAAGTACACAACTGGTGTACCAGATGAACTTGTACAAAGGCCTGCCTAGCCATAGTTGCCACCTGTTCTTTAAGCAGGAACTGTGAATCCAGGAAGATCCCCAAATTGTGCACCAGTCTTGAATGGGGAATTGCAACCCCATCACATGAATAGAATATGGGAATGAGCTTGGGAGACAAGAGGAAGAGATGCTAGATCAGTGTTTCTCAATCTTGGCAACTTTGAGACGAGTTTCTTTCTCTTCTCGTTATGCAGCTGCAGGCTATGCACCCGCTTATCTGATCATTCCCTAGGCAGCATCTCTTCCTCCTGACTCCCAAGGTCATTCCCACATACCATTACACATCAGGACCAATGATGGAATGATGTTGCATAGCAGGGAGGGTGGTACACCACCAGCAATCCCAGCTGGTCCCAGAGGTCCAACTTAAGCCAGAGGGTCTCACATCTGGATATCTCAACAACTCACAGATGACAATAGCTGTCCTCTCTTGGGGACTTTGCTGATGCAAAACCTGAAACCCAGGTGGGCATATTCCAAAAGGAGAACCTTCCCCAGGACACCCCCCACCCAGGTCTTGGTTATGCACACCAGGTTGGCACCCTTATCCATAATTAGATCATGGCCAGATTTATTACACACTGACTTTGTATTCAGAAGCAGCACCCAGAGTCTGGGACCACCAAGGATCCATTGAACTTGTCACAAGGCTAAATACTGAGGGCACGATGTCAGGATCATTCTCCAAGAGTGTTCCTGGCATCCCTGAGTGCAGGCCACCCTCAGGTTTCCCCCCATATCTACTCATGCCTGTCAGAGTACCAATAATGCCTCCTGCCCTCATGTATCCCCCCAGTGTGGGCCTCCCCTGGGTTCTCCTGTCCCAGGCCCACCCATTCATATCTTCAAATCCCCCAGCACCCTACCTATCCATACCAAACAACCACACAAAAATCATACAATAAACATCCAGCTGTGGAGTCCTTGGGGTTGGTTGTTTCCTTGCAAATGTTTCATTATCTGTCTAGGTAACATCTTCAGTGCTAGAATGGAGTGGGTTTGCTCTCTGTTTATAGCCACTGCACTGAAGATGTTACTTAGCCAGATAATGAAACATTTGCAAGAAAACAATCAAGCTCAGAGAACTCCAAGGACTCCACAGTTCAACCCTGAGCTACACATATTCTCTTATATTGAAACATCCAGCTTTCACCACCACCCCTGCTGCTCAAGGCTAAATAGAATCAAATAGATATTAAACAGCCAGTTAAGACTGTTGAATTTGCTTGTTTACAACTAGCAGTTTTTTCCTTAAAATAGGTATTTGAAAGCTGTCATAAACATACCCTATGAATTCATCCTCCAGCCAGGTAATGAATAAAGAACTTGCAGTCAGTAATCAAAACATGATGCATACTGTTGTGAGCATTGGAAATTGTACGTATGTTATTCCAGTGATTGTTTCATGTGCCAATAGCTATTTGGTATCTTTGATAGAGATTCATTAAAATAAATTCAGATTATTTTAATATATCAGTTCAGAACTATTCCACAAGTTCTGGTCTATTTTTTGATGCACTCAGAATTAGTTCTCTTATTAAATATGAGGAATATTAAAATGCAGGGTGCTGCAAAAATAATACTAATTGCCCATTCAAAATGGGGTTACCAAATGATTGAGGAACTCAGTTAATGACACCTTTATGATATCTATTGATTTATCCAGTAAGTCAAACTGAAATGAAATGGAAGCTGTGCTGCATTAGCAAAATACAGCTGTATACTTTATGGTGATACGTTTGGTATTTTAAGTATTCATTGTAAAAAATATTTTCAGCTGTACTTACAAGAATTTCTTGGAATAAGAGTTAAGACATCAGTGTTATA